TGCATTTAATGTCCATTGCGTAATTTGATTGGCTCTGGAAGTCACAGGTGGCTTTGTGACATGGTTTAATTTTTGTGTCAAATAAAGTTTGACACGGGTAGGATAAAAGAAATCCTTTTAAGGTAAAAATTTACCTTATTGCTTTTTAATTTCCAGCAAACTTTGTATTTTTCACAAAAATTATACATTTCTTTTTGTCACTTATGATTTATTATCTTTTACCAATTATGAGCATGGTTACTTAGAGTATGCATATTACTCACATGGGCGAGTATAGTGGCATCATCAAAATCTATCACAAAATTGGGTACTAACACTACTTGTGCTAGTTATTTGCTTTGTGTGGTTATTGGATTAGTTGGAATCCCCAACTTCTCCCGGTTGCTTGCTTGCGTGGTCTATTAACATGCGTTGTGTTTCTTAATAGCTTTGTGATGGTTTTGGTTCTGAACTTGAGGATTGATTGGTAGAGTTCAGTCCGGCAATGATGAGTCTCCTCACAACCTTGTATTGTTACTCTACACCACTTAGAACCAAAAAGGTGGAGAATGTTAAAGGTATTGGTCCTACCAAGGTCTCCCTTCCATCTTATTATTGACTTACACCCCATGTTTACTCCCACTAAGTGATGCATATTTTTACATCTATTCTTGTTGTTGCCCGCTGCACCTTTTTCTGACAGCCCGTGAGTGTTGTTGTCTGACCCTTTGTATTTTAACCGTTGAACAACCTGTCTGGAGCCCCCCTTCTTTTTCAATTAGACCCGTGAGCAATAATAGGCAGTCCGCCTATTATATTATTGTGCTCCTCCTTTGTGAGCTGTGGCCTGCGTGAGAATAGTTTGAGAGTAGTGAGCAGTGATCTTCTCCATCTCCTTTCCTTTGTGTGTGAGTTGAGAGAGGTACCTTAGTGGTAGGAGAAAAAGCTTGGTGAGTGGAGAGGTCATCCGAAGTGTGGTGTATGTGAGTTAGAGGGGTTGAAGACCTGAGGCGGAAAAGAATCGATCCTCAACAAACTTTAATAATAAAAGTTGTGTACATATTCTCTTTATTGGGATGGAGAAATTAAAGTCAATGTAATTTTCTAAATAAAAGTCGCTAAGTACTAAATAATAAATATACAAATACTATAACACTTACGAAATACTCCCTCCGACCCGGTCATTTCTTCTGATTTTGACCGGTATCGCAAATTTAGGTAGTGGGAATAAAGTGAAAATGTATGGTTGTAGTTATGTAAGAAAAAGGTGAATGAATGTGAATCACATTTTTTTTCCAAAAGTGAAAGTTGGAAGAATTAATTGGGACGACCCAAAAAGGAAAGTTGGAAGAAATGACCGGGACGGAGGGAGTAGTAATTTAACAAGTGATATAATATTAATAAAGCTCCCTATAACAAATGAATAATGAAGAATAATAAATTGAGAATAGATACGATGAAGATGAAAATATGAGATTGGACTAATGAAGTGTGAGTAAAATGAGAGATATTCATTTTAAAAAAATAAACCTACCCCCACCCCTCTCCAATACAGTCGAAGAGCCGTAATTCATTTTAAACTAAGATGAATATTTTGATGGCACGAAGAACATAGTAAAACTTCTTGGATGACTCTAAAGATGCAAAATTGACCATATTATGAAGAACAAAGGAAAAACTAGCCTTAGAATGACGAACGTAACAACCAGAACTCTTATAAGTGCAGAGGAATTATGTAAGCACTTCATTATGAGATGTGCAATGGTGTGAAAAAATGCCCACATTAACTATGCCCCTCACATTTGCACTTCTTATCATTACTTCGACCCCGCCATGCACAGGAATTGGTGTGGCACATCGGTTCCGAGAGACGAAATAAGAACATTAACAGCTTATCATCACACTGAAGCCTATGAAGTATGACACACTCTTGCATATTTGACACCACCCCTAGTAGAGGGATGATGCATTGCTTTCTTGATGACAACCCGACTATGACAATATCTATATTTCGATTCATGTCATGTGAATTGACTAAGTTATATTGTTGGGGGTCACACGTCTACCACATAACTCTCCTTTAACCTCCTAGCTTAGGACATGTATGCGTGGTAGTCAAAAAATGGTCTCATGTCCCTTTTGTTACCTATATTTTACTCTATTACATGATACTTAGTTACTATTTGTAATTGCTTATATATATATATATATATATATATATATATATATATATATATATATATATATGTGTGTGTGTGTGTGTGTGTTAGTACCCAATTTTGATAGATTTTGATGATGCCACTCTACATTGCACTAGTACATTATCTCTTATTTATTTGCGTTTTAGTGTTCAAAAGTGACAAAATAAATGTACAATTTTTGAGACTAATAAAATTATGCTGGGAAGTTTAAATGCAATAAGGTAATTTTTTATACCTTAAATAGGATATTTAAATCCTACCAGTATAATTTTATTTGTACACAGAAATTAATTAAGTCACACAGGTACATACACATTAAATTAAAATGATTGGAGACAAAACTTGATCAGTATTTACTACTGAATCAAGTACACGGACCTACAGCTGGATGCACACATAGACTGTTTTAGAGAAGATGCTCCCACGGCTCAATCATTCAAGACAAGGAAACCATCTCATTAAAAGCTCCTGCACAAGAAGACGGAAGTACAAACTTGTCATTGCCAGATTTTCAACGCCAGTGATTAAATCATCCTAACCAACGGATGAGATTAATCCAAAGGAGAAGCCTATAAATATAGGCTGAAACAAAAGTTTCTAACTGAGCTTTGAGCATCCAAAGTAGAGAAATACTTCCATTGAGCATTTACGAGCTATCTAGCAAAAGAGAAAGTGTGAAACTATACTTTACTCTCTGCTTGGACTCATACTTCACTAAACTTCAAAGTCACAAGTTTTCATTGATAAATCCTAGAAGTTTAGTTCATAGTTGGAGGTTAGAACTTTCTTGTAACATTTCACAAATTGTTGTAAAAACTTAGGAGAACAATTGTTCGGATCCTAAAGTGTGGTTAGATAGATAGAGTACCATTTCATCCTCATTCGATCAATTGAGAAAATTCTAAAGGATTGAGTAACTTTGAGTGGTGTTATACTCATTGTGAAACACATTCAATCTAGGCCTGAGTGTTGTAAAAGCTAGATTGACACTAAGTGTATTGGGCTTAATACTTTAGTGGAAATCCATCTGAAAGAGGGTGGGACTGGACGTAGGAGGATTACACCACTTCTGAACCAGGATATACTGTGTGTTGATTTACTTTCAGTCAACAAAGCACACACCCAACACTTCTCACAAAAAGATTGTAGTTTGCCAGCAGCATCCTAAGCAGTACTCTTAGTTGACCCTACTGTTTATCCTACTGCTTAATAACTTACTTTCTTTGAGATAATTCTTGCACAAGAGCCTTGAAATATCACTACTAAAAGGTCCAATCTATTAGATATCAGAAATTCCTCTCTCAAGCATAGTAGTTGCCTCAGCAGTTCCCTGGTGACCACCCCACTGCTGAGCCCATTGCTCATACACCTTTCTGAAAATCAGGTTGTTACTCAGCAGGTACCTAAACAGTTCCCTTGTAACCATTCAACTACTGAGCCCACTGCTCTTATAAACTCACACCATAACTCATCCAAACACATTTTCAGAAAGTCCTCATCACCCTGAGCAGTATTATATAATCAATCTTCTCATACCTTCATTTTTACTTAAGCAGGTACCTCAGCAGTTCCCTGATAACTACCCAACTTCTGAGACCACTGCTCTCATTAAGGTTGATTATCAATCCACCTCATTACATCATCAAAAAGCCCTTTTCATTCTGAGAAAGATTTTGCTTTCACTTTCACCATACACTCAGTATTTCACTAGCAGTTGCCTCAGCAGTTCCCTGCCTTCCAGTCATCTGCCAAGCCAAGTGCACACTACATAAAGTCCAATTATTACCCAAGTTAGAAAAGTGTCATACATTGAACATCTAGAGGTTAAAGACTTCCGTTGTGCATCTATAAATCTCCCAAAAGATTTTAGATCAACTCATCTAGAAGGGAAAAGTTTTTAAAGTTGAAAAAGCTTTAAAAGTCTATTCACCCCCCCACTCTAGACTTTTACCTCTATCCGGGACCATCAATATACGAAGTGATTTATTCTAGAGATGATATGAGAAGTGATAAATAGTAAAAATAAATGTTTGATAAAACGATTTTTAAAAAATTAAATTAGATATATTCGATAATAGAGTACTTTTTATGTGATAAAAAAGTAAAAGGAATTTTAAGGAGAATCACTTTTAATATATATTTTTAAGCATAAAACTGAAAATACTTAAATATGCACACACAACCAGTAGCCCAGTAGGGCGGTTTATGAGTGACCTTTTGATATTTAAACATTTTGATTTGTTCGTAACTCTACCTTCTTATTGTGCTTAGTTAGTATAAGAGTTTGTTTGATAATACTCAAATTGGTTGAATCGATTAGTCTCATGCAATTGATAAAATTTTGCCTGAAATAGAAGAATTAGCTGAATTATGATTTTTTTAGATATAATATACTCTGTATTTCATAAATAAATTAAACAAAAAATACATGAAAAATAACTAAAATGATCATTTAGTCAAAAGCAGGCATGGACCTCTAAACTCCCACTCAAATTAAAGATTTTCCTTTGGAAATACCTAGCCAAGACCCTACCATTCCCAGAAAACCTAAAAAGGTTTAACATTCAAATGGCCAGCATGTGTCCATTCTGTAAAAAGCACAAGGAAACAATGAACCACTGCCTATTCTCCTGCCCACTAATCCATCCAATTTGGACATATTTTTCTTGTATTTTTCAGGTGGGAAGAACAACACACATGGAACTGAGACAAACACTCTTTAGATGATGGCTAGGAGGCAAAACAACAATCACGAAAAGCACATTCAGACAAATAATGCCTACAATTATATATCATGTGGATTGTATGGAAGAACTATACCAAATACACCTGGGATGGACACAGCACAACCACGGGACAGATAATCAAAGAAATCAAATCATACACTCAGGATTGGAGCTACACACAAATCATCAAGAGACACATGGAATTCGACACAGAGATATGCAAGGAAGGAATAATCCCACACATCAGTGACATACACAGGTCAAACATTCACAGAAAAACAAATCAAAGGCAACATACAGGCAACCACAGTATCGATGATCAAAACGACAACATAAAAGAAAAAAGGCACTTATCTCAAGCAACCAACAACATGGAACCCTCAGCGCCAGGAGAAACAACGGAATTGGAAGGTAACGTCACAGAAACTGAAATCATACAAAGGGGAAATCACACTACTCCGAATCAAAGCACAGACCGTACAAGACAAACGTCAACAACGATAAGAAGGATACCTGAAAACCAACATCCACATGCAAGAAGAAACCGGCTCGACGACGGTCACCAGAACCACCAAAGCACAGGTACGATACGTAACGATCAAGGCCAAACCGGAACACCACCAAGCTTCTCTCACGCTCATCCAAGAAGACTACCTCATCGCGACACAGGGTAAAATAACGACCGCTCAGGACATCTACCACGCAGACTCCCTCTCTTCGATTTTGGAAAACCCTAGGGTTACTACAATGGCGACGATAAGGGGGGCTGTTGGCATTATTATGTTCAACGCATCAAGTTTGGACTGACTACAAATATTCCCTTAGGCCCACTACTTCATACTTCTTTTTTGTCCTTTTCCTTTTTTCAAATTAGGGCTCAAACCCAAACGGCCCATAGCAGTTTCTATTTGTAAAATCCCTTGTACCTCAACCTCTTACTCAATAAAATTGGGAAGTGTACCCCGACACTTCCCTCACCGACCGTGGTTTATTCTGGGTTAAAAAAATAACTAAAATGATCCTCTAAAGTAATTTAGGTCAATTCATCCAGCAAATTGACTCTAGTCATACTTATTTTGATTATTACACATTTCAACACACAAAATCAAGAGTCAAGTATTTTTTTTTAAAAATAACTGATAAGTCTAATAAGCTGAAATTAGTGGTTAACAAAAGAGCTCTAAATTTTTCCCATACAAAAACTATGAACGCCGTATGTAAATCTAAAATTAACCGGATCAATTGAATATATTGAAATTGATGAAATATTGACTGGAAAAATTATACTGCACTTTGTATTTAAGATTTACTTTACTAATAAAATAAAGAAAAATTATATGAAAAAACTTTGGATTTTCCTTCAATGTTACTATATTAAATCCGTTTTTCAAAAATGTGACCATTTTTCTAAAAGGACAAAAACGTGAGTAACAGATGTCACTGCCTAATTTTTATGTCACTATCGTATTTTATGTCACTACGATTTTATGTCACTTTTGAATGTCACTATCGCCGTCAAACGTGTCACTGTGTCGTTAACCATGTCACTATGTCGCCATAACTTTTCTGGCGACTTTTTCAGGTGAAATATTTACATCCTCCACAATTTCCATTCAGTAAAACCGCCACCCGCCACCGCTATGGATGAGACACCTACTGCCCCTACCCCCTACCTTCCCCTGCTCCCCCACAGCTACCCAGCCCCCTCCCCAATCACACCCTACCCTCGCCCAAGCACCGCCCAGCCCCCCACAACCTGACTTACCCAGGGTCGCCAAACCCCCCACAACCTGACCTGCCCAGCGCTGACCAGCCCCCGCCATGACCCGCCCAAGTTCCACCCAGCCCCTCTGCGACTCGCCCTAACCCCATTTGTCAGTCCTAAACCCTAGCCCCTACGTCCAGTCCACCAACAATGTTGTAACCCTAGCCACCTGTCAATCGTCGTCGTCGCCATTGCCCTCAATTTATACCCTAACAGTAGGATCTAACACTAGCTTGGTTGGGCGGCGGGGGCTTTTCGCGACGCCTGTTGGACTCCATCTTCATCCCATCGAACTGATAGAAATTAAAGAGAAGAAACAGAAAATCCGGCGTGGAGTAGGGGAGGGCGCCAACTGGGGCACGACCAACTACTATGGTGGTCGGCGGCGAGGTCGAAGATGGCAGCGGCGGACAGGTCGGCGGTGCACTAAGAGATGCGGCGCATGTCAAGCATGAATGAGAGAGATCGAAGGAGTGAAGTAGCGCCCTAGGAAAACATGATAAGCGGCCGGTCAATCTAGGGGAATTTTTGAAATGAGACACTTTTTTTTATCCTTTTAGAAATCAATCATATTTTTGTCCACTAAAACTCTAATAGTAATATTGAAACCATTCTTTCAAAAACTTATTTTAATTGTTACCCAAACAAAAAAAATATACAAACCTGATAGAGTATATCTAGAGAGAAGTGAGAGCTAGAGAGAGAAGTGCAATAATATGCTTCAATAGAATGAATTTGTAACCCCTATAACTACTCCCAAAGGGAGTATTTATAGAGAAAATACGGGTTGGGCTCCCAAGCCTTGGGCTTGGGAGGCCCATTTACAACTGGACCGCTACTGGGCCGAATACAAAGCCACTAATGGGCTGTACAAATGAGTAAGTGTAAAATCCGGTTCTGGGAGGTTTTCGTGGCCGACGAGGGCGTGGCCGACGAGGGCGCGGCCGACGAGGGCACCCGGGTTCCTTGGGCTCAGGATCATAATCTATGTTGGCCCCTTTTCGGCCGACGGGGGCGTCTTGGCCGACGAGGGCGCCACTTTGTTGTCTTATGCTTTCTGTTCTTCCGAGTATGTGGGTCCGGGGGCTCAGACCCATATACTCCATCAGGAGTCCCCCACTCTCTAAGCTGAGACGCAGACGAAGTGAAGGAGAGTAGATTCCTATGCTTTGTTGCCCTTGGCCGTTACCTGTTCCTTGTTGTGGACAGGGAGGCCGTTGTTTACTTGATGTCTTCGTTTTGGGACGATGAGTGTCCTTCTTTCAATGGTGGCCGTTGAAAGGCACGTTTTGCTTGGGCGCTGATGGTTGAAGTTTGTGTTTGGGCCGATGAGGCCACTGAAGTTGATCCTTGCTTCGAGGACGATGACGTCTTTCCCTTTGGATGGCCGATGAGGGTGTTTGCGCACTCCTTTTGGACGTCGTTGATTGGCTTTCATGTTCTTGGCCGAAGAGCCCATCGTGATTAAGTGATGGCGAAGGACGATGAGTGTCCTTGCCTTAGGTGGCCCGTTGGCCGTTGCTGATGACGTTGTGTGCCTTTGGCCGACGAGGTGCAGTGTGATACGTGGCCGATGTGGCCATGCTCTGTGGTTACCTTGTTTGCCTTTTCTCTTGTTTTGTTGAGGCCGGTGTAGTCCCCCAGTCCCCCACTGCTTCAGGCCGAAGAGTGTGAGGGGTGAAGGAGTTGCTTGAGTCCCTGGCCGAAGCGGCCTCCCCGTAGTCCCCCTGAATCCAACCCTCATGGCGATTTTCCGGCCAAGTTAACCCTGTGGGAGAACCCTTGTGCGCAGATCGCTTGTAGAGAGTTATCATCAAGGGTCATGACGAGGAGCCGATGGCTTGTGGGCTCTTTTTTCCTTTGGTCCTGTGGCCGTTACGTTCCTGGCCGTTGCCGTCTCCTTATTGTTTGGCAGTTGTGATCTTGGCGAGCAAGTGGGACGTTGTGGGCGCTTGCTGGTATTTGTGAAGCCGGCAAGCGTGTAGGCCGTTGGAGTCTGGTTTGGCGGTGGGCTGTTGATGTGGGTTGGGCCTGGCCCGTTGGTGACGTGGTGGCCTCCCATTGGTGGCCGTTGATGTGGCCATTGGGAGGGTGCCACGTGTAGTGACCGTTGGGTGGGGGGGTTCTATAAATACCCCTTCCCCTCCGACGAGAAACCACATTTGCATTCTGAATTGTCGAAGTGCTGGCCATTTTTCTAGAGAGATAAACTCCCAAGCTTGTTCTTCGTGTTCTTCGTTGTTCAAGGTTAGTGTTCATCGCGATCTTCCTCACTTTTCATATTTTGCTTCCTAGGCTAGTGATCTAGTGTTAGGTGTTTGAACACCCTTAGATCTTAAGTTAATCTCCTTAGGCCCGTAGTAGTAGTTATGAAGAGCTTGAACGAGGACTACTACCCCTACGACGACCAGCCCTCCACGAGGTCACTTGACTACGAGGTGCTCGAGGAGTTCGAGGAGGAGATAGAGCATTTAAGTCCCTACAAATCCGAAGAGCCGGTGGACGAGGAAGGCGAGGACGAGGAGTCCGCCTCCTCTTCAAAAGGTGAGGACGTAGGTGCGTCCCGAGTGGTGGACGGGGCGTCCACTTCTGCTGTCATTCCCTGCCCGAGGCCGGTGTCTGCCGTGAAGGGAGCAGTTAAACCGAAGAGGGTGAGGAGGCCGAAGAATGGGCCGGGCATCTCCTACCTGGATCTCACCAATATCTTCTTGATCAAGCCGGAGAGCAGTGCGGGCGACTATCTTGTTGCCCAGATGTACGTGGGGCCGTTCGGGCGGGTTAGGGCACCCAGGCCGACGGACCATGTTCTTCTTCCGCCACCGGGATACTTTGGAGTATACCCGGTGAGTTTTGCTAAGGGGTTGAGGTTCACCCTTTCATCACTGAGTACCTGGACATGGTAGGGCTTCCTCCGGCCTTGCTGACGTCGAACAGCTATTCCTTGATGGTGGGGTTTTTGCTCCGGTGTGAGGAGCTAGGCTACAGGCCGACAACGGCCCTCTTCATGAATCTGTACCAGATCGGCCGAGGAAGCCACAAGAACTGTGCGGCCTATGCTACTCTTCAACAGCTGCCGAAGAAGAGGAGCTTCACGAACTTGCCTTCGTCCATTCATGGGTGGAAGAGCAAGTTCGTTTTCGTATCCCTGGGTGAGAGTGGCACCGAGTTCCCCTCTCTCGGCCATACCGGGAGGTTCAATCTCCATGACCCGCCGAAGAGCTCTATCTTGGACGCTCAGGTGGAGGCTTTCCTGGAAGGGGGGCCGAGGAGCGTGAAGGATTACGTTACTGAATACAAGATGACCGCCCTCGGCTTCTTTAGATACCATCTGTATGGCGATAAGGAGGATGACCTCCAAATCTGGCCGAGGATGACAACCACATTTGAAGAGGCCGACGGCCCGGATTTGAGCATTCCTGCTGAGGCCGATGGTAATTATTTCTTCGGCTTTCTGTCTTTATGTTTTGTTCCTTTGCCTTACTAATCTGTTGTGTTTTTCCTTTGTAGATTTTGCCATGGACCGTCGTTCCATAATGGCTATTGCCAAGGCCAAAGCGGCCGAGGAGTTGGCTGCCAAGGCGGCCGAGGCGGCCAGACGTGCCGCGGTTGATGGGAGCAGGGCTACTACTGATGCGGCCCCGAAGCCTGCCCAATCGAAGAAGAAGAGGCCGGCCACTGACGGCCAGAAAAAATTAACTGGAGCCGGCCTGAGTGTCTCCAAGAAGACGAAGAGGGCGCCTTCTCCTTCTCCGGCTACCGAGGCCGGTACTCTGACTGTCCCCAGCGTGGACGATGGTGGTCCCGTCGTGGACCTTACTGCTGCTGGCGATGCTGCTCCCTCGCTTCCTCTCGTCCAGGAACCACGGACGAAGAGGGCCGGCAAGGAGATTGCCGGTGCCACCTACCAGAAGATGGTAGAATACCCCGTTGGCGGGGGTGTGTTTGATGATGTCGTCCTTGGCCACGACGTCCTGGCCCAGGCCTTGCCGGCCAAAGATCGGGCTTATTTAAAGAAGCTCGGGGACGTGAAGATTTACGAGGGCGGCATGGACCTCCTCGTCCAAGTAAGTTACTTTCCTTCGTATGTGTCGTTTTTCTCGTCGTCCTTGTAGATTCATTTCCCTGACTTGTTTCCCTTGTTCCGCAGAGTGCCTTTATGCTCATGGAGAGCCATAAAAGGCAGTACCGGGAGATAGCTCGCTTGAAGGAGCTGGAGCAGAAGGCTGCCTCGGCCGACGAGGCGGTAGCTTGC